ATCGCCATCCACCGCCACAGTAGCCACGCTTGCGTCCTCCAAGGGGGCGCGGGCACGCCACGACATGTATGCCTGCTCTTGGGGGCCCAACTCCCGAAGTGAAGGCCGGAAAGCACTGAGACGGGGGCCCAACTCCGGCAGTAAAGGCCAAACAATGCCAGGCTGAACAGCCTTGCCCGCCGCGGACTAGCGGTATCCACTGCTTGGCAGGGCCAAACGGGCATCTTGAGCCAAAATCGCTACGGGGAGGAGGAGGACGAGGAGGAGGAGGAGGAGGAGGAGGAGGAGAAGGACGAGGAGGAGGACGAGAAGGAGGACGAGGAGGACGAGGAGGACGAGGACGAGGAGGAAGAGGAGGAGGAGGCGGAGGAGAAGGAGGAGGAGAAAAAGGAGGACAAGGAGGAGGAGGAGGAGGAGGAAGAGGAGGAGGGGGAGGGAGGAGGAGGGGGAGGGGAGGGGGAGAGGAGGAGGAGGAGGAGGGAGGAGGAGGAGGAGGAGGAGGAGGAGGAGGAGGAGGTCCGTAGCCATTTTGGCTCAAGTCCGTAGCGGCTCGGCTCAGGACCTGCCCTTTTGGCATGGGGGAGTAGACAGCCCCCGACAGTTTCCCAGCTACTCTCCTCTGCCTGGTCAGACGCGGTTTCTTTCATCTTTCTACGAATTCCTGCAGGAGCAGTCCTTCTTTATGCGTACCGGTGGGCCAGATGGACTCTTGGGTTTGCCCACGTGCCAAGCAGTGTGGTTATATCGTCATAACTAAGCGCGGCGCACAGCGTGTCGCATGTGCGGCCAAACGCGGGAGAAGCCTGTCACCGTTGTGCCCTTGCCGCCCCGCGGCAGTTGGGCTCGACCGCCACGCTTTGCCGAGCAACGCTTCTGTGGCCCCACCCATCCCTCATACTCAGAGGTTGAGATATACGCCGCCATGTCTGCCGCTGACTTCGACGCCAGCAGTAACGGCTGGCACCCGAGGGTGGTGGGGCGCGTGCGAGCGGCGCGCGCCATGTTGCAGGGCGAGCCCTGTGCGTGCGCCAAGCAGGCAGTGATCCAATGGATCTGCACCAGCAGAAGCTCGAGAAGGCGCAGTCCAAGCTCGAGCGAGCCTAGCACGCCCTCGCGCAGTCCATCCAGGCTGCGGCCCAGCCGAGACTGCGGCCGCCAAGGCTGCCCAAGCTTTCAGCAGACTCGCTCCCAGCACCACGGCGGTGGAGGAGGCAGCCTTCTACGCGTGGGGGCAAAGGGCTTTCGGAGCAGACCACCGCCCACCGACGCCGCCGCCACGGAGAAGCTCGCGAACATGCTACAGCAACTGGAGGCTGCAGCCAAAGCGCTGGGCCATGCTCATCCCCCTCCTGCTGACACACCTGCAGCTGCCCCCGTCCAAACTGCAGACAGTGGTGCAGAAGACACCGCCCCCGCAGCAGGTGCCCAAGGTGCCCAAGGAGGAGTCGAGCAGGCGTCTCCGTTCGATGCGGACACCGCCACTGGGCCCCTCGGCGGAGCTCCCTATGGGGCCACGGAACGGCGTACCGGGTGGGGGAACCGCATGCGGACACCGCCACTGGGGTTTTGGGTGGAGCTCCCCAAGGGGCCACGGAACGCTGTACTGGGTCGGGGAACCGCATGCGGACAACGCCACTGGGGCCTTCGGTAGAGCTCCCGATGGGGCCACGACGCGCTGTACTGGGTGGGGGATTCGCATTCGGTCTCTGCCACTGGGGCCTGAGGTGGAGCTCCGTATGGGGCCACGAAGCGCTGTACTGGGTGGGGGAACCGCATGCGAATTACTGTCACCAGGGCCTTCTGTGGAGCTCCCGATGGGGCCCAGAACGGGGTACTGCCTGGGGGAACCGTATGCAGACACCGCCATTGGGGCTTTGGGTGGAGCTCCCCATGGGGCCACGGAGTGCTATACTGCGGATGCCGCCACTGGGGCTTTGGGTGGAGCTCCGTATGGGGCCACGCAGCACTGTACTGGGTGGGGGAACTGCATTCGGACTCCGCCACTCAGGCCTTTTGTGGAGCTCCCTAAGGGGCCACGAAACGCTGTACTGGGTGGGGGAGCCGCATGCGGACACTGGGGCCTGGGGTGGAGCTCCCCATGAGGCCACGAAGCGCTGTATTGGGTGAGGGAACCGCATTCGGACTCCGCTAGTGGGGCCTTCGGTGGAGCTCCCCATAGGGCCACGAAGCGCTGTACTGGGTGGGGGAGCCGCATTCGGTCTCCGCCACTGGGGCCTTGGGTGGAGCTCCGTATGGGGCCGCGGAACGTGCAAGGGGGGGTAAAGAGGAAGGAGGGGGAGGAGGCAAGGAGGGGGAGGAGGGAGGAGGAGGAGGAGGAAGGAAGGGCAGGAGTGGAGACGCGGGGCGCTGTCTCTTCAAAACGTGGACCCAACACCACAGGATGGTTTGGACAGAAATCAGTAGCAGCCCCAGCGGCGTTGGGTGGGAATCGCGGTGCCCCCACGCCCCCGCTGTCAGATCCCCCAAAACGATAAAATCGACAAACAATCTGCAACGGCCTACGCGCCGCAGTGGCCGGCACCCGCGGAGCCCGTCCAGCAACCACGCAGAGAGAGGACTTCTACGCCGTTTCCACTCGTCACCGAGTCGTTGCCTCAATTCACAGTGGTGCCCTTAGGGGTGATCCTGGGGTCCCGCTGCGACGGACCCTGCCGATGGCCCTTCCAGGGAGCCTGGCAACGACAACGGGTGGCGGCTCCTCCTCCTCCTCCTCCTTCTACGCCGTTTCCACTCGTCACCGAGTCGTTGCCTCAATTCACAGTGGTGCCCTTAGGGGTGATCCTGGGGTCCCGCTGCGACGGACCCTGCCGATGGCCCTTCCAGGGAGCCTGGCAACGACAACGGGTGGCGGCTCCTCCTCCTCCTCCTCCTCCTCCTCCTCCTCCTCCTCCTCCTCCTCCTCCTCCTCCCGAAACGACCCCCGAGTCGAGATGGCAGACTTCTGATGCCGCTTTGCCAGGTCGTTCGTTGGCGGCAGGTCCCGCGTACAGATCATCAGGAGACGACTCACGGTGCCGCGTAGTGTCTGCTTTCGCCTCGGCTGCCCTGGTCTCCGTCTCGTTTTTTTTTCCCCCAACCATCCTGTGGTGTTGGGTCCTCGTTTTGAAGAGACGGTGCCCCGCGTCTCTCCTCCTCTCCTCCTCCTCCTCCTCCTCCTCCTCCTCCTCCTCTCATCATCAGCATCATCATCATCGTCATCGTCACCGTCATCATCAGCATCATCATCATCATCGTTCTTATCACCATCGTCGTCATCATCATCGCCGTCTCCATCATGGCCACACGTTTCGTGGACCCATAGTGAGCTCCACCGAAGGCCCCAGTGGCAAGGTCCGCATGCGGTTCCACCTCCATTTCGGCGCACCCCTCACACGTTCCGTGGCCCCATAGGGAGCTCCACCGAAGGCCCAAGTGTCAGGGTCCGCATGCGGTTCCACCTCCATTTCGGCGCACCCCTCACACGTTTCGTGGCCCCATAGGGAGCTCCACCGAAGGCCCAAGTGTCAGGGTCCGCATGCGGTTCCACTCCATTTCGGCGCACCCCTCACACGTTTCGTGGCCCCATAGGGAGCTCCACCGAAGGCCCAAGTGTCAGGGTCCGCATGCGGTTCCACCTCCATTTCGGCGCACCCCTCACACGTTTCGTGGCCCCATAGGGAGCTCCACCGAAGGCCCAAGTGTCAGGGTCCGCATGCGGTTCCACCTCCATTTCGGCGCACCCCTCACACGTTTCGTGGCCCCATAGGGAGCTCCACCGAAGGCCCCAGTGTCAGGGTCCGCATGCGGTTCCACCTCCATTTCGGCGCACCCCTCACACGTTTCGTGGCCCCATAGGGAGCTCCAGGGTCCGCCGAAGGCCCAACGAAGGCCCCAGTCAGGGTCCGCATGCGGTTCCACCTCCATTTCGGCGCACCCCTCACACGTTTCGTGGCCCCATAGGGAGCTCCACCGAAGGCCCAAGTGTCAGGGTCCGCATGCGGTTCCACCTCCATTTCGGCGCACCCCTCACACGTTTCGTGGCCCCATAGGGAGCTCCACCGAAGGCCCAAGTGGCAGGGTCCGCATGCGGTTCCACCTCCATTTCGGCGCACCCCTCACACGTTTCGTGGCCCCATAGGGAGCTCCACCTAAGGCCCAAGTGGCAGGGTCCGCATGCAGTTCCACTTCCATTTCGGCGCACCCCTCACACGTTTCGTGGCGTCATAGGGAGCCCCGCCTAAGGCCCAAGTGGCACGGTCCGCATGCAGTTCCACCTCCATTTCGGCACACCCCTCACACGTTTCGTGGCCCCATAGAGAGCTCCGCCTAAGGCCCAAGTGGCAGGGTCCGCATGCAGTTCCACCTCCATTTCGGCGCACCCCTCACACGTTTCGCGGCCCCATAGGGAGCTCCACCGAGGGCGCCAATGGCAGGGTCCGCATGCAGTTCCACCTCCATTTCGGCGCACCCCTCACACGTTTCGCGGCCCCACAGGGTGCTCCACCGAAGGCCCCAGTGGCAGGGTCCGCATGCAGTTCCACCTCCATTTGGCGCCCCTCTCACACGCTTCGTGGGCCCATCGGGTGTTCCACCAACGACGATACTTACAACGGCGGCATTCGGAATTGCGTATGGTTGGGCCCTTCGCCAGGATAATTGTCTCCAGCACGAAGGGGCTCTGGTATCGGGTGAAGCCCTACGCTCTACGCCGTTCAGGTTTCAGGTTGGTGCCACCCGCTATCCACTTCTATTTCGCACGGCTCGCGCATGTCATCGGAGTTTCCAGGGCCGAGGCCTTCCCGCGCCGCCCCTGTTCAGGACCAGATCCGATGGCAGCGCGCTCCCTCGCCCTCTCCCGTTTGACGGTTGAGGCTGCGCCGCCTCTCCGCCTTCGTTTCCGGGGAGACGCCGCCTTGCTGTCATAGCCACCCTCCTCCTGCAATCTCCTTCCCACGATTCCGATGCCCATTCCGGGCTCTCTCCTTCTCCCCTCCCGCGAGGAAGAAGCACAAGAAGGCGGCCAAGAGCGACTGGAGACGCAAGCTCGAGACGATCAGCGATTGCCCCGGACATGGGGCCCAGTAAGAGTCGGCCTTGCTTATCCCTCCCCCTTGTCCAGGTCACCCTCCTCCACTTCCTCCTCTTCGCCATCGGCCTCCTCGTCCCTCAGCACAACTTCTGGTGTAGCCCTCGCTTCCAGCGGCGTCCTTCCCGAGATGGCACCGTGGGGGAGGGGACGACGACGTAGGATAAGGTTGAGGACGGAAGAGAAGGACAGATGCTGTTCGAAGAAAAGCGATCAGGGGAGGGCATGATAAAGCACGGGACGAAGCCAGAGGAAAGGGAGGGATAGGAGAGGAGAACAGTTCAGGCAGCTGGAGGGGATGATGATGATGATGATGATGACGACGACGACGATGATGATTGATGATGATGATGATGATGATGATGATGATGATGATGATGATGATGATGATGATGATGATGATGATGATGATGATGATGATGATGATGCTGATGCTGATGCTGATGCTGATGCTGATGCTGCTGATGATGATGAGGAGGAGGAGGAGGAGGAGGAGTAGGAGGAGGAGGAGGAGGAGGAGAATGATGATGATGATGATGATGATGATGATGATGATGATGAGGATGATGATGATGATGATGATGATGACGACGACGACGACGATGACGATGACGATGACGATGACGATGACGATGATGATGATGAGGAGGAGCAGGAGGAGGAGGAGGAGGAGAAGGAACATAATGATTGTGGCGCAGGCGGATCAAACATGGAGGTCAACCGACAAAGAGCATCGTGGGGTCCTGAGGAAGTGCAGTGAAGAGAGGGGATGAGTAAGAACACGTAGTGACATGTGTTGAGACAGTGGGAGGGGTGATATTGGGAATTGCGATCGTACGCCAATGGGGTGCGCCGGCGTGGGGGGAGCACATGAGGTATAGAGTTACACATGCACGCCTATATATCTCTATATATATATATACACATGTGTATACATACATGTTCCCCAAAGAGTGTTTGCACTTGGGTGTGCGCACTTTGCCTCCTAGGGAACTGGACCTGTCTGGCGGTTCGGCGGCTACGTTGCCGCCCCCGCCCCGCCGCCGTCTCGTCGCTGCCCGCCGTCTGGCCAACGTCCAGCGGTCTGGCCGTCGCCGCCCCGTCGCCGCCTCGTCGCCGCGCGCCGTCTGGCGGTTCTGCTGTCTCCGCCGCCGCTCCGGCGCCGCCTCGTCTCCGCCCGGCGTCTGGGCCAATCTGGCGGTCCGGCGGCTCACTTGCCGCCGTCGCCGCCCCGCTGCGGCCGCTGGACGCCACCGCCGACATAGATTGTACAACATAGCTTCTCCTTTAGTTAAATAGCCTGGCGAAGGACCCAACAATATGCAGTTGCGAGTACCGCGTTGTGAATATCGTCCTCGGTGGAGCGCCTTATGGGGCCACGAACTGTGTGAGGGGCCTGCCGCAGTGATGGTGGTGGGGAACCGCATGCTGGCACCCCCAGTGGGGCCTTCGGTGGAGCTCCCTATGGGGCCACGAAACGCTGCCCTGGGTGGGGGAACCGCATGCGGGAACCCCCACTGGGGCCTACGGTGGAGCTCCTTGTGGGGCCACGAAACGCTGCCCTGGGTGGGGGAACCACATGCGGGCACCCCCGTTTGGGCCTGCGGTGGAGCTCCCTGTGGGGCCACGAAACGTTGCCCTGGGTTGGGGAACCGCATCCGGGCACCCCCACTGGGGCCTTCGGTGGAGCTCCCTATGGGGCCACGAAGCGCTGCCCTGGGTGGGGGAACCGCATGCGGGCACCCCCACTGGGGCCTGCGGTGGAGCTCCCTGTGGGGCCACGAAACGTTGCCCTGGGTTGGGGAACCGCATGCGGGCACCCCCACTGGGGCCTACGGTGGAGCTCCCTCTGGGGCCACGAAGCGCTGCCCTGGGTGGGGGAACCGCATGCGGGCACCCCCACTGGGGCCTGCGGTGGAGCTCCCTATGGGGCTACGAAACGCTGCCCTGGGTGGGGGAACCGCATGCGGGCACCACCACTGGGGCCTGCGGTGGAGCTCCTTGTGGGTCCACGAAACGCTGCCCTGGGTGGGGGAACCGCATGCGGGCACCCCCATTGGGGCCTTCGGTGGAGCTCCCTGTGGGGCCACGAAGCGTTGCCCTGGGTGGGGGAACCACATGCGGGCACCCCCACTGGGGCCTGCGGTGGAGCTCCCTGTGGGCTGCGAAACGCTGCTCTGGGTGGGGGAACCGCATGCGGGCACCCCCACTGGGGCCTACGGTGGAGCTCCCTGTGCGGCCACGAAACGTTGCCCTGGGTAGGGGAACCGCATGCGTGCATCCCCCACTGGGGCCTGCGGTGGAGCTCCCTATGGTGCCACGAAGCGCTGCCCTAGGTGGGGGAACCGCATGCGGGCACCCCCACTGGGGCCTGCGGTGGAGCTCCCTGTGGGGCCACGAAGCGCTGCCCAGGGCTCGGAAACCGCATGCGGGCACCCCCACTGGGGCCTTCGGTGGAGCTCCGTGTGGGTCCACGAAACGCTGCCCTGGGTGGGGGAACCGCATGCGGGCACCCCCACTGGGGCCTTCGGTGGAGCTCCCTGTGGGGCCACGAAGCGCTGCTCTGGGTGGGGGAACCGCATGCGGGCACCCCCACTTGGGGCCTTCGGTGGAGCTCCCTGTGGGGCCACGAAGCGCTGCTCTGGGTGGGGGAACCGCATGCGGGCACCCCCACTGGGGCCTGCGGTGGAGCTCCTTATGGGGCCACGAAGCGCTGCCCTGGGTGGGGGAACCGCATGCGGGCACCACCACTGGGGCCTGCGGTGGAGCTCCCTATGGGGCTACGAAACGCTGCCCTGGGTGGGGGAACCGCATGCGGGCACCACCACTGGGGCCTGCGGTGGAGCTCCCTATGGGGCTACTGGGCCCCGCAGGGGGGTGGGGAGGAGGGGGGAGGAGGGGGAGGAGGAAGGAAGGAATGAGGAGACGCGGGGCGCGGTTTATTCAAAACGAGGACCCAACACCACAGGATGGTTGGGAAAACAAAAGAATAGACTCTCTCCCCCCCCTCAGGAATCAACGGGCCACCCTGTCGTATTGCAATTGACATATGATTCCGCCCCACCGCCCATCCTAAGTATAATTCATATTATTCCAGCCAAACCGGTATCGCCCCCCCCCTCCCGCCATCCTTTGCAACACATTAAATGCGCTCACTCTCGTTTGTCAAAAGTCATAACTTTTCAAGAGCCTCTTGCAACAAATGAGACGAAGTGCGCACGTTCGCGTCGTCGCGCGCGCATGCCGAAATCCTTCCAAAACTCTCGTATTCGGAAAGATTTCACAATCGAGTTTCCTGATACGAAAACGCCGGGTTTCGCAACACTGATTTGCTAATTGGCCTGACGAAGGACCCAACCATGTGTAGTTGCGAGTACCGCATTGTGGGTACCGGTTTCGGTGAAGCTCCTATGGGGCCACGAATCTTGTGAGGGGTGCGCCGAGATTGGTAGCGCGGACGCATGTGGACACCGCCATTGGGGCCTTCGGTGTAGCTCCCTATGGGGCCACGAAACGCTGCCTTGGGCGAGGGAGACGCATGCGAACTGCGCCATTGAGACCTTCGCTGGAGCTCCTTAGGGGGCCACGAAACGCTGTCCTGGGTGGGGGAGACGCATGCGAACTGCGCCTCTGGCGCCTTCGGTGGAGCTCCCTATGGGGCCACGAAGCGATGTCCTGGGTGGGGGAGACGCATGCGAACACCCCGATTGAGGCCTTCGGTGGAGCTCCCTATGGGGCCACGAAGCGCTGTCCTGGGTAGGAGGGTCGCATGCGAACACCCCTACTGGGGCCTTCGGTGAAGCTCCCTATTGGGCTACGAAATGCTGCCCTGGGTGGGGGAACCGCATGCGGGCACCCCCACTGGGGCCTACGGTGGAGCTCCCTATGGGGCCGCGAAGCGCTGCCCTGGGTGGGGGAACCGCATGCGGGCACCCCCATTGGGACCTTCGGTGGAGCTCCCCATGGAGCTACGAAGCGCTGTCTGGGTGGGGCAACCGCATGCGGGCACCCCCACTGGGGCCTTCGGTGGAGCTCCCTGTGGGGCCACGAAACGCTGCCCTGGGTGGGGGAACCGCATGCGGGCACCCCCACTTGGGGCCTTGGGTGGAGCTCCCTATGGTGCCACGAAACGCTGCCCTAGGTGGGGGAACCGCCTGCGGGCACCCCCAGTGGGGCCTGCGGTGCAGTTCCCAATGGGGTAACGAAGCGCTGCTCTGGGTAGGGGAACCGCATGCGGGCACCCCCACTGGGACCTGCGGTGGAGCTCCCCATGGGGCCACGAAACGCTGCCCTAGGTGGGGGGACCGCATGCGGGCACCCCCACTGGGGCCTGCGGTGGAGCTCCCTATGGGGCCACGAAGCGCTGCCCTGGGTGGGGGAACTGCGTGCGGGCACCCCCAGTGGGGCCTTGGGTGGAGCTCCCGATGGTGCTACGAAACGCTGCCCTAGGTGGGGGAACCGCCTGCGGGCACCCCCGCTGGGGCCTTCGGTGGAGCTCCCTATGGGGCCGCGAAGCCTGCCCTGGGTGGGGGAACCGCATGCGGGCACCCCCACTGGGGTTCCTATGGGGCTACGAAACGCTGCCCTGGGTGGGGGAACCGCATGCGGGCACCCCCACTGGTGCCTACGGTGGAGCTCCCTGTGGGGCCACGAAGCGCTGCTCTGGGTGGGGAAACCGCATGCGGGCACCCCCACTTGGGGCCTTCGGTGGAGCTCCCTATGTGGCCACGAAGCGCTGCCCTGGGTGGGGGAACCGCATGCGGGCACCCCCGCTGGGGCCTACAGTGGAGCTCCCTATGGGGCCACGAAGCGCTGCCCTGGGTGGGGGAACCTCATGCGGGCACCCCCAGTGGGGCCTTTGAGCTCCCTATGGGGCCACGAAGCGCTGCCCTGGGTGGGGGAACTGCATGCGGGCACCCCCACTGGAGCCTTTGGTGGAGCTCCCTGTGAGGCCACGAAACGCTGCGCTGGGTGGGGGAACC